TCTTATGTAACGTTGAGCGCATGACGCAAAGTCCGGGAGTACACGTGGTTTAGTGTGCCAGATGGTCTATTGATTGTGTTACTTGTCGTCTGAATGATTAGTGATTCGAGGTTCAGTCTGGTTGTAAAATTCTTCTCCGTGGCCATGATGCGTGCGTTGTCCCAGCTTATCTCGTGGCCCGTCTTCTCGGCATGCTCTGCGAGTGCATTAGTCACTGTGTGGCCCTTGGCGACGTCATTCTTGTGTTGCATCAGACGTCTGCAGTAATTTCCACTCGTGCCAATGTACACCAATTCGCAATCGGCGCATGGTATCTTGTAGACTACACCAGGAAAGTGTTGCCGAGGGAGAGGATCCTTCACATTTAGCAACTCAGCTTTAAGCTTGTTTGCTGGAACATGCGCGATCTGTACACCACGTTTTCTGAATAGACGGGCTAGGGCTTCGCTTATATTTCGAATATAAGGAATCGATGCACGCTTTTTTCGTAGACGATGTGTTATGCATGGCTTGACTAGTTGACTGCAGTTTATGCATGACGGATTTAGTTGTTTTCCTAATAAAAATCTTGGGGTATCCATTCCTGATCAGGTCATCTTCAATGGTCCGGAGCTCCTCCTGCAGGCTTCCTTCATCGGAACAAGTGCGAATCGCTCCTTGAACTAAAGACCGAATCACTGAGCGTTTGTGGGCTACCGGGTGGACTGACTCATAGTCGAGGTATCTACCGGAGTGCGTTGGCTTTCGGTACACAGCGAAGGCGAGGCCTGTGGGAGTACGTTTTACAACTGCATCCAAGAAAGGGAGGCAACCGTCTTTTTCTTCTTCCACAGTAAACTTGATGGAGTCTCGATGCCATTTAGGCAGTCAAGGAAAGCTTGGACGTCTTTCTTCTTTATCCCGCAGAAGCAGTCGTCGACGTATCTCAGAAAAACCTTGGGTCTCGGCTGAAATGTTCCCAATGCTTTCTGCTCAATTGCTTCCATTGTGATACTCGCAGTTGTGACCGAAATCGACGCTCCCATTGCGGTACCGAAAACTTGCCTGTAGAATTCACCCTTGTACGAGAAGTAAGTGTTGGATAGGCAAAACCGTAACAAGGTGCACAGCTCGGTGACGTCGAACGGTGTGCGATCGGCCAATGTCGTGTCCTTGTGAAGCAATTGTCTGGAAGTGTCTACAGCAAGGTCGACGGGAACATTTGTGAAGAGGGAGCAGACATCAAATGAAACCAGTACTTCGTCGACATCCAGAGTGATACTCTTCATTTTGCTTATGAAGTCATTGGTGTTCCGGAGGTTAGTTTCAGTCTTGCCTGCAAGGGGAGCCAGGATGCCGTGAAGATACTTTGAGAGGCTGTACAGGGGTGACCTAGTGAAATCTACTATGGGTCTGAGAGGCGTTCCGCTTTTGTGAATCTTCGGTAAACCGTATATTGCTGGAGCAGAACCATTGGTGCACAGCAGCTGGAAGTATAACCTTTTTGCTGATGCAGGAAGCGTCTAAAAAATACTAGAGAGCGTCTTGTGCAGGCCAGTTTGGACTTTCGAGGTAGGATCCTTGTTAATCTTGGCGTACGTTGTACAGTCCCCCACTATCTCCGTCATCTTCGACTCATACGTCGACCGGTCAAGCACAACCGTCACGTTGCCTTTGTCCGCAGGAAGTACGGCAATCTTCTTGTTTTTGTGCAATGCCTTAATCGCTTTTTCCTCGTCTTCCGAGAGGACTTGCTGGCAGCCAGACTTGCGAATCCTCGATAGTATACCTACTGCTCTCGTACGGACTTCGTCTCGTTCACCTTCTCCAAGTAGACCAATAGCGTTTTCGACAGCACACACGACCTTGCGAGTGTCCGGCTGCTTTGCTTGGTTGAAGTTGAGACCACGGCTCAAAACTTTGCATTCCGCAGGAGTTAGCTCGTATGACGACAAGTTCCTGACCTCGAACATGGGTCCTCTGGTTTTCCTGCCTTTTTCTAGCAAAGCACTCAGTTTGCGCTCTTGTGACGTTTCCTGCTTTTCTGTTCGTCGTCGCGATGCTTGGTTCGCAACGAGATGTATTTCAGGGAGTAACTCAGGCATGATGAATTCCAGCTGGCGTGTTGTGAAGAAAATGTCAGTCTCAAGGCGCTTCACAGTCTGCTTGCAGTCTTCTATCCGTGCTTGAAGAAGCTGCCGTTCAGCTTTCGAAATGACTTGATGACCGAATGCCGATTTCACGGGGTGCTTTAACTGCAAAGATTTTGGGATAAGTTGCTTGGACTTACAGGTTACGTTGAAATGCAGGTGCGTCTTGAAGGCTGCCAGTCATGTAGATGCACTCAAGAACTGACGAATCCTGGTGATAGCCGATTGTCCATACTTGTGGCGGATGCTCACGTAGTCGAGAGTTCGACGGAATGCCGTCTGGTCAGGTAAAGGCATTGTTGAAAAAACAGGTCACTGACCAATGTCAAATAAAAACAAAGACGTTTCGGGATCCGTACGGATCCCTTGTTCACAATGGGATGACGGCTGAGCAACAGGTTCTTATGTAACGTTGAGCGCATGACGCAAAGTCCGGGAGTACACGTGGTTTAGTGTGCCAGATGATCTATTGATTGCGTTACTTGTCGTCTGAATGATTAGTGATTCGAGGTTCAGTCTGGTTGACTGAATCGGTGTACATTGGCACGAGTGGAAATTACTGCAGACGTCTGATGCAACACAAGAATGACGTCGCCAAGGGCCACACAGTGACTAATGCACTCGCAGAGCATGCCGAGAAGACGGGCCACGAGATAAGCTGGGACAACGCACGCATCATGGCCACGGAGAAGAATTTTACAACCAGACTGAACCTCGAATCACTAATCATTCAGACGACAAGTAACACAATCAATAGATCATCTGGCACACTAAACCACGTGTACTCCCGGACTTTGCGTCATGCGCTCAACGTTACATAAGAACCTGTTGCTCAGCCGTCATCCCATTGTGAACAAGGGATCCGTACGGATCCCGAAACGTCTTTGTTTTCTTTTGACATTGGTCAGTGACCTGTTTTTTCAACAATGCTTATGTTATTATGTCTTTTTTATAATCGCTTTCGATTCTACGCAGCAATTTCGCAAATTGAACATATATGCCAACTAAATATGCACGCATATATCGGCATGGATATGTGCATCTAAGTGCACAATAGAGAACCCCAGGTGGTCGAAATTTCCGGAGCCCTCCACTACGGCATCTCTGATAACCACATGGCGGTTTTGGGACCTTAAACCCCAAAAATCATCAACCAATGGTTATGTGCATCTGTGCCCATGAGCATAGTGCACAAAAATAAAGACTGTATATTTATTTCTATTTTTGTGAACATAGCTTCAATGTCTAGGGGTACCAAATAAGGCGAGCGTAAAGCTTGTTCATGCAAGAGGGGGTATTTGTAATTCGAAAATAATGCACGCCATTTATACAACAGTAGCTTCCATCGGGCACAGAAATAGACGGAAGAGTTGTGGCATTGGCGGTTTCTTTTGGGTCGACAGTAATAATTTCTGAAGTAGAGGCGGCACTGCAAAATAAAGCGCCAAAAGAACTGAACTATACACAAACAAAGCGCAACTTTGGTCCTTAACATTGCAGCGCTTCTTGTACCTACAGTGTGTTCCAACTATGCCCCACGCAAGCTTTTCTAATTTCTTAGGACCTGGATCCCGAATCCACGATATGATTGTGGGGGTCACTGTAGCGCAGGGCATCCGGAAATTTCGACTGTCTGCGGTGCGATGCACCAGCAGCGCACAGCACTCTCCCTTAAACACACACACACTCACACACACACACACACACACACACACACACACACACACACACACACACACACACACACACACACACACACACACACACACACACACACACACACACACACACACACACACACACACACACACACACACACACACACACACGCACACACGCACACACGCACACACACACACACACACACTGAATATCCACGGATCGAATGATGACGAGTCGGCGAAGAAGTGAGGATCATCGGGAAAACGTGAATCCCCATACATTGCCCACTCTACATCATATAATGAGCGAGACTGTTAGCGATCTTGCTGAATGTTTTTTATAATCTTCTTAGGCTAACGTAATGTGCCACGGTATAAAAAGAAGTCACATTAGAAAGCTTAAACTAAAATTCCAGCAAGTCACACGCCGTTCACCACAAGCAGTCAAATAAAGCAGAAGTCGTAGCTTCTGGGTCTTTTTCGCGACGTTAACACATCTGTCATCGTAATTACGAGAACAGACGGTGATGCTCAAACACTCTAAACACTAACCCAATTGTTTCGCATCTTTAAAATAGCGGATAATACATAGATATTTGATAAATCTGATCAAAGGATCTATCATAAATCTACCGCATTCCCGAAACTTTAACGCGAACCAGTTTGTAGTGAGCAGACTATTTTGCATTATGAAATATTGGAAAATGCTAATTTCACATTCAAGCCTAATTTAAATGCCCACACACCTTTGATACCGCGACATTTTCAACTCACCTGCCTGCCGCAGTGAAAACCTTAGCCAAAGAGCGCGAAATATCAATGCATTCTGAACATCCAACGACGCTCAATATTAGCATTTCTTTCCCACACACCTGTCAAACCTTACAACTTTATTAAGCCCGAAAGCAAGAACATTTGCGTATCTCCGGAAGCTGTCAGAGGCAGCTGCCGTCGTCGTTTATTCGTGACGAGCGCTAACTGGCAGATGGCCAGGCTGCGAGATCGAATGCCCAATGGACACGTACATGGCTCGAGGTGCAGTCTTCAGGCTTGGTCAACTTCCCTCTCTCCCACTCACTCACTTTCTCGCTATTCTTCGGTGTTCTGTGTTTTCCGGGGGACATACGTGTACCTGTCTTGCACGCGTGTTACGTCATTCGCGAAGCACAATCAGTCAAAGACAATGCCCGACCACTCGCAAAAACAACAGCTGTCCGTTTTCGGGAACTTCAGGTCGAGCTCCTCTATAGGAGTCGTTTCTGTCGTGCGGTATACATGTTGCGGCGCGACCGGCACGTTGCGGGTAAACACCATCGTCCAAAATGCCGGAGTACCTGAATAGGCGTAGCTGGTAGTCGAGCCGACTTCTGCGACGCAGCGATGGAGCTCCGCGTATTGGCTGCCGTTGCACTCACCGCCATTTTGCTCACAAAAGCAAACGGCACAAAGAAAGGAGATGACGGGTAAGTATTCACGGGTGTTCGCTGTAACTCTTTCTCGTGATCATCGCTCATCTGACCAGGACGGCAACAGAGCTTGGGGGGAGTGTGGTAGCCGTCGAAAGGCGGCACCAAGTCAATTTCACGCCTTTACACAGCAGGAACTGTCCTGTGGTTGTTCAATGCATAGATTTATGAGCACGGAGATTTCTGGCAATAATCGCGACCCGGGTCACAGATGTTACTTTCTAGGAGCTCTCAAGGAAGGAAGTGTAAATATGAGGGCTCCATTTCTTTGTTGGACACGATATTAAGGAGAACTAGCAGAGTGGTGTCAAGAGAAGTACATAGGAGATGTTATTAGACGTAATCGTGATGTAAGTGTGAAGAAAGAAAGGTGGACGAAAAAAACTTGCCACCGGCTGGATCTGAATCTGCGACCGTTGAATAACGCGTCCAATGCACTACCACTGCAGATACGGTGGCAGCCATCCCCCCGTTCACATTAGAGGGTATATATAGAGTATATATATAGGGTTTATATAGGGTATGCATAGGGAAATCTGTGCCTACCTCATTTACCTCTGGAAAAAGACGTCATAACTTTATTTAGATTTCTGCATCCATGTAAAGCTTGTTTTTCTGAGGACTAGAACGTGGTGTAAGAACAGTAACCTCAATGATAGGGAAAAAAAAAACCCGCGAAAACCTCTGCTCCTGATTGTTGTTCTTAATGGGCGTCGTGTCATTGTGTAAGTGACACCACACAGAGGTTGTAAGTTGACTGGCCGACGTTTTTATAGGTGGATCTATATCTGCCGAAGACGCCGTGTGATTTTTGGCGAGTTGGTTTTGAAATGTTTAATCACCCACATGCCGTCACGCAGTGTCCCTGTCGGTACTTAACATTACTTACTGCAAAAAATACAGACAAAAATATAAATGAACAAGGAAATAAAAAAAACGTACAAGTGACGAACAGAAACGTGAAAAAAAGTTAGACAATCGTAAAAAGCAAGGAAAGCAGGTTATCACTAAAATATTCACGATCGGAGATGGATACGAGGTTATCTGGAAGGCCGTTCCAAAGCGCTATGGCTTGAGGTAATGCCAGTGTGGGACCATGAATGTCCATTAAAACTACGCACGTTGTGAATGCGTCGAGATGTGCGAAGAGGGACATGAAGAGGCAAACAGTAGCATTTGTTACTTATAGATGTACCTATGATTTAAGTATAAAAGGGCAATGACGTGGCGTTGATCGAGTGACATGAATTTAAGGCCTTATTTTATTAGGGTGATGCTTGAATGATAGTCGTAGTTGTCAGCTGTTAATCTCGCTGCCCTATTCTGGACGGCTTCCAACGTACTGACTAGGTAATCTTGATGCAGTTGATTGAATGATTTATTTATTTATTTATTGATTGATTGATTGATTGATTGATTGATTGATTGATTGATTGATTGATTGATTGATTGGGTTTAACGTCGCAAAGCCACCATATTGTTATGAGGGGCGCCGTAGTGAAGGGCTCTGTAAATTTCAACCACCTGGGGTTCTTTAACGTGCACCCAAATCTGAACACACAGCCTACAGTATTTTCGCCTCCATCGTAAATAATCTTGATGCGGTGACCATGTGAAAGATGCAAACTCTAATTGTGGACAAACACAAGTTAGACATGATAATGCACGTAAGTTAGAAGGAGCGTTGCGTAAGTTTCTGCGCAGGCAGCTGAGAGACTAGGAGGCTTTTGAAGAGATAGCTGCTATGTGCGCACTCCAAGATAATTCTGATGAAAGGTGAACATCGAGATATTCGTACGGCAGTATGGCTGAAACAACGGTATTATTAATAGTATAGAAACAGATTGAGTTATTACGCTTTCTAGTGAACGAGATTAACTTCAATTTTTATTTATTTATTTATTTAATAATACTGTCAACCCTCGCTTGAGGGTCATAACAGGGAGGGAGTACAATATGAGTACAAACAGAACACCTAAAAAACCACTAAGCAATAAACACAGGAAAACAGAATGGACAGTACTTCAACCATTACCAAAATAAGCATCAATTTCTCTGTCAAAAGTTTGCACATCGGTACTATTAATAACATGTTGGGGTAAAGAATTCCATTGTTCTATAGCATCCGGGAAATATGACCACCGAAAGATGTCAGGGCGAGTGCTAAAAGGTTCAATAGAGGCATCATGATTCAATCTAGTGCTACGTTTTCCGGGAAGGCGTATGTACTCGTCTTTAGGTATTTTGAATATCCCTTGGATTATACGAAATAATGTTTTAAGTTTTTGTTCCGTCTTCGAATTTCCAGTGATTCTAAATTGCATGAATTTAGCATATCAGTTACTGAATCCCGCCTGCTATATCTAGAGCACACAAACCGAGCTGCACGCCTCTGAATACGTTCTAACTTGGTGACCAAGTGTTTCTGGTGAGGGCTCCAAACCACAGAGGCGTATTCCAGTCTAGGTCTAATATATGTGTGGTATGCAAGCAGCTTTACATGTTTCGGTGTTTTATGCATCTTTGCTCGTAGAAAACACAGTTTTTTAAATGACTCAGAACAAACCAATTCAATGTGACGGCGCCAAGTTAGGTTGTTCGTAGTTGTCACCCCTAAGTATTTAAAATGGGACGTTTCACTGAGTTGTACTGGAAATTGAGAACATTTTTTTTTGTTGGTAATGTGTACATATGTTGTTTTTTTAAAGTTAATTTGCATATCCCATTCGAAACACGACAACTCCAAATCTTCAAGGCACTTATTCAACTCGAGTTGACCATCAGTACAGTTTACAGGCATATAAATCAAACAATCATCAGCATAAAGTTTCATCTTAACAGGTGGCTTTACAATAGTACTGATATCATTTATGTACAACAAAAACAACAGCGGGCCAAGCACGGACCCTTGACGCACACCTGAAAACACATCTAGCGTAGCTGAAAAAGAACCATCAATCCTCAATACTTGTTTGCGTTTACTCAGGTAGGCGCCGATTCAGTTTAAAATTTCATCATTGAATCCCATTTTACTCAGTTTAAAGAGCAGTTTAGTGTGGTTTACAACATCAAAGGCTTTAGCAAAATCAATACAAATTACATCAACTCGTTTGCGATCGTCTATAGCCGAGCTGAAATCATGAATTGTTTGAATCAATTGCGTCACTGTGGCATTGCCCCTTCTAAATCCATGCTGACAGTCATTAAGTGTGTGATTAACCTCCAAGTGAACCATGATATGCTTTGCTATTATATGCTCTATGACTTTGCAGCAAACAAGATTTATAGGCGTTAAGGGACAACTGCCAAGCTTCGCACCTCCTGTAGGTTAGATTAAGGTCATTTTGGAGAGCGGAATGATAGTCAATAGGCTGAATAATGCAGTAGGTGGCGCGATAATTCGCGAACAACCTCACTGAATACGAAAGGTTAGCGGGCATGTCGTTAATGAATATTAAAAACAGTAATAGACCAAGTACACTGCATGCCCTAGGGAACAATAGCCGTGACATCGCAAATATTAGAAGAAGTGTAGTTGGCCAACATATATTGCTGACCAGATGACTGGAACTTGCGTATCCAAGACAGTGTTACTGCATCGATACCAAGAGAAGAAAATTTAGATATTAAACGACAATGAGAAACAGTATCAAAAGCTTTGGCAAAATCGAGAAAAAGGCGATTGGTTCAATCGTTACTGTTCATAATAAAGTGAAGGTCAGCGGTGGCTTCGAACAACAAAGTGAAATGTGTCGATAATTACAGGGCCAGATGCTGTCACCGGACATGAATACGGGGACTATCTTGCCTATCTTCCAGTCTTTAGGAAACTCACCAGATGACTCAGACTAGTTAAAGATAACATACAAAATGCAAATGGAAATATCAGTGATGTTCTTCAGTATTTTCATAGTTAATGTTATCAATGTCTGATGTATAGACTTTAAGTTTCATGATGAGGTTTCGCGATACCTTCTGCAGTGACGGTGATAGTAGTCATGAAAGGGAAGGGCTGATCAGGGACAAATGGCATATTGGAACAATATTCTTTTGCAAAAACTTAGGCGAAATATGCCTTGAAGGCAATCGTCGAAGTTTCAACAGAAAGCGGAGTTTGTTTAGCATCATGTAATGTAACGCGCTTAGAAGATTTATTGTAAGAAGAGAGTATTTGCCAAAAAAATTTTAAGATTATTTTTTATAAGTGAGGGCGAGCCCTACGAATAATATTTCTTCTTCGCTGCGCCTAGAGCTTTACAGTACTCTCGCAAGCACGCCTTGTATTTTTCCCAGTAGGAAGCAAAAACATTGCGTTTTGCGGTATTATACGAACGCTTATTTTTATTCCTTAATGTCTGGAGCTGCTTCGTAAACGACGGGTTAGTCTTATCTTTGGATATATAGATTAGAGGCAGGAACCGGTCAACTAGCACTAATATTTTTTTCTTGAAAAAGAATGTTGGCGTTTACGGTCCGACAGGCAAATGACGGCAGAAAGTGCTTATGTCAAAAAAAATAATTCTAATCAGGTGTTAAATTGTTATAATCACCACGGTTGTAATCGCGAATAGATTTAGTTACTGCGCCTGTAAACATAACAGCTAAAATTATCTGGAAATGAATTAGCTTGTGATCACTAAATCCAGGTCACTAAAACAACCACATAGAATACACGTTAATAAGTAACACCAACAGTATGAGAATAAGTGTGGTAGATTAACTTGCTTAGAAGTTACATCATCGAGGCATCTTCGTACCCCACCAAGCAGTGTGGTTTAGAAGACACTTTTAAAATACAACGTTATAAAAAAATTATGGGTGAATGAATGATGAACCTGCTCGTCTAATCGCAGCAACTACGAATCCCTCTATCTCTCTCCGTACATCAAGGCGGGTCAGATCGACGTGGCTAGGAACTTGAGCCGAGTGAAGCTGTTCGAACAACACATCGAAGCAGAGACTCACTCGGGTTACATCACCATCGACAGTTGGAAGAAAAGTAATCTCTTCTTTCTTCACATTCGTGCCTTGGTACGTATTACGCTGCAGTAATGAGCAGTGATCTATTTATGTGTTTATTTATTTATTTACTGTGCGTTATTTCAGTTGAAATTGTGAATAAATACACAACACCAGTACGGCCGATTGTCATGGGCTAATAGGAATTCCAAACTAAAATATGCAAGCAGAAGCCAGAAATTGTGGCAGTAGACTACCTAACACAGACAGAAAAACTGTCGGAAACTGTCGAACGCTACACACGGAAAAGAAATCGTTAAGCAATATAATTTCAATCCAGTGTAACGTGACACCGACCTTTTAGAGGTTACTTTAGTTGCGTGCATGCACATATTTTCCAAGTCATTGCGATCCAAAGCCGCAACAAGTATTTCCGCATTCATGGTAGATGCGGGGTCAGTTGAAGCCGCAGCCATTTCATAGATCTATAGGCTGTATACGCAAACAAAATATTAAAACAATAAGAACAGCAACAATATTAGCAATGAATACAACATGAATGAATGAATTGGGTAATGTGAATAACGACGACATAAAAGTTACATGCAATAAAAAAATATTAGGATTTACATGCAGTGCTGCGAACCAAACTTGAGAACAAGAACGTGTCAATATATAGATCTTCACCAAAGTAAAGTAAATATGCCTGACATGGCAAAGTTATGACTAAGTTTTATTTAGTGCAATCAAACTCGCTAAGAAGGATGCATAATCACAAATATGTCCACCATGTCGGGTGATTTTTCTAGCATCCAACATGCAATGCCAGGCTGAAATACGTCGCGCAAGGTTGCCAAAGAGAAAAACGAGACGAGACAGAAAGAGCGCCAACTCACAACTAATTTTATTTTCATGAAGCATTCACAATATACAGGCTCTTGGAGGACATGCGCAGACCATTTCATTCACCGCACGTGCAGGCATGAACATTTTGATGATGTAATAACCGATTATTGCAACCATGATATCTGGGAACCAGTTCTTGCGAGTTGGCCCTCTTTCTGTCTCGTCTTTCTCTTTGGCAACTTTGCGCCACGTATTTCAGCCTAGTATGTACCAACTAGCCCAACATAACGTACTGTTATGCAATGCCAGCCTACTACGGTACCTTCCAGAAAAACCCAGACGCCTACCCACTTCTACTGTGGCTCCAAGGTGGCCCCGGATTGTCGTCCCTGTTCGGCGAGTTCCTCGAGATAGGGCCCTTGGGAATCGATGGCAAAGGGCGTCTCTTCAAGAGGCAAGGCTCCCTCCAGAGACACGTGAACGCCGTGTATCTCGACCAGCCGGTGGGAGCCGGTTACAGCTTCACCAAGGGTCTTCTCGGATACGCCAAAGACCTCAACGACGTGTCCAGCGGCGTGCTCGAGTTCCTGGACCAGTTCATCACCATGTTCCCGGAGTACAGAAACCGGACGTTCTACGTCGGGGGCGAGTCTTATGGAGGTGAACTCATCTGTACACGTATAATGTACGCTATCAGCTCACATTAAGAGGCACTGGACATAGAGACAGAAGGAATATAGGAAAGGTAGGGAGGTTAACTAGACATTGTCCCGTTTACTATCCTACACGTGGGGAGAGGGTAATAAGGGAGCAAGAGTGAGGCAAGGAATATAAGAAAGGTAGGAAGATTAACTAGACTACCTTCCATTTGCGCCCTTAACATGGGGAGAGGGAAATAAGGGGGCAAAAGAGAGGCAAGAAATATAAGAGAGGTGGGGAGGTTAACTGGACTACGTCAAACTTGCTACTCTACAAGTAAGGATAGGAAAATAAGGAAGCAAAAGAGAGAGAGAAGTATATGAACACTGAACGCCACACACAGTGCAGGGATTCACAGATGGTCGCTAAGTGATGTTGCCTTCAAGAATTGTAGGAAGGCTCGTGTGGATTTATGGGCTGATGTACTATGAGACCGTGCACTCACAATATTTTTTCCAAGTAAATATAAAGGACGATCTTCCAGTAAAACAACGCATTAGTCATTTCAGACAGATGGGGATTTCTTTAAGAACTGTTCGCATAGCGAGAGCAATTACGCGGCAACACCATCCGAATTTCTGGCGCGGTGGTGTTCAGTATAACATCCATCTTTCCTACACCGTCCGTAAAAGCTTCGAGTTTTTTTTTTCAGTTGATGTAGGTACAACGCAGAAAATTTGGCCCCTTTTCCCCATTGCTGAGTAGTCTATTCAACAATAATGCCTTGTTCAAAGCACACGCTGAGACGTTCGGCACGTATTCACAACGCTGCCGGTTTGCCGTCGGTCTCGCCTCTTGCATGCACCATTGTGGCACGATTATCAGCTACTAGCGACGATGTTAGTAACTGTTATAGTCTGGAATGGCTCCAACTCGCCGGTCTCCCACATTCCCCACGTATTACTAAAGCGTGTATTTCATAATTATAACTAAATGGTAATTTACGTTTTAAAACGAGAGGGAGGGATAAATAACTGTTAAGCGGAAGGCAGGGAGGCTAGCCGTAATGTACAGAAGAGGTAAAGGGTAAGACGCAAATGTACATGAAAAAAGAAAGCCTGAGTGCGAGGGAGGGAGCAAGATAGGCTCATAATCTTTAAGCACGGCAGGCGACTAAAGGCGCTGTCTAGTAACGCCCTATTGACTCGTATTCTCTAACGTGTTCCATAGCTAGGTTCACCGTCGCCGTTTCCCACGCCATTCTCAAGGGGAAGGAACCACGCGTCCCGCTCCGACTTAGAGGAGTCATCCTCGGCGCCGGCTTCTTGGGGCGCCTCATGAAGGTGGCCGACTCGTCCGAGTTCCTCTACGAGATGTCCCTGGTGACCAAAGAGGGCCGCAAGAGTCTCGCCGACATCTTCGCCGACATGAGGCGAAAGGTGAGAACGCTGATCGGCAAGCTGGCCGCGCTACTGCGACTCAAGAAGACCATCTTCACGTCGGAGAAGACGCCCACCATGTTCCAGAAGCTCACGGGCTTCAACAACCAGGCCAGCGCGCTGTACTCCGAGAAGCCCCTCAACATGGTCCGGTACGAGAAGTACGTGCAGAGCGACGCGTTCAAGCGAGCCGTGCACGTCGGTCGAGACGCCCAGTTTATGGAAGCCGAGGGCAAGGTGTCGATGAGCCTGAAGAACGACTACCTGACCGACATCAGGTATGCGCTTACGTCAACTTTATAGTGACTAGACGAAAGGCAGGGATGTGTGTACAGATGCGCAGAACTTGAAGATGTGCGCTCAGGCGGCGTGTGGGTGGGAGTACGTCATGGCACCTGTGCTTGTTCTTACTGCAGGCCAGAAGTACGAACACGGCTGCACACGGCTGAACGCCTAAGTGGCCCCACGCATCCAATATTACAGGTGACTAATGGCAAGCGCTAAGCCCAAGCTAAGCGAATGAGTGGTAACCTCGTGTGGACTTCCCACACCGTGCGTAGAAGCTTCGAGTTTTTTTTTTCAGTTGATGTAGGTGTAGTAGTAGTAGTAGTAGTAGTAGTAGTAGTAGTAGTAGTAGTAGTAGTAGTAGAAAACTTTATTATATACATAATCCAGACAGGCTTGAACTCCAGTGCCCCGAAGAATATACGTGCAACGCAGAAAATTTGGTACCTTTTCCCCGTTTCTGAGTAGTCTACTCAACAAAAATGACTCATTCAAAGCACACGCCGAGACATTCGGCACGTATTCACAACGCTGCCGGCTTGCTGTTGGTCTCGTCTCTTGCATACACCATTGTGGCGCGATGATCAGCTACTGGCGACGATGTTATTAACTGTTATAGACTGGTATTGCTCCAACTCGCCGGTGTCCCACATGCCCCACGTAATACTAAAGCGTATGTTTGATATTTATAACTAAATGGTAATTTACGTTTTAAAACGAGAGGGAGGGATAAAGAACTGTTATGCGGAAAGCAGGGAGACCAGCCGTAAGCATACAGTACAGAAGAGGTAAAGGGTAAGAAGCAAATGTACATGAAAAAAGAGAGTCTGAGTGCGAGAGAGGGAGCAAGAGAGGCTCATAATATTTAAGCACGTCAGGCGACTAAAGGCGCCGTCAAGTAACGTCCTACTTACTCATACTCTCTAACGTGTTCCGTAGCTAGGTTCACCGTCGCCGTTTCCCACGCCATTCTCAAGGGGAAGGAACCACGCGTCCCGCTCCGACTTAGAGGAGTCATCCTCGGCGCCGGCTTCTTGGGGCGCCTCATGAAGGTGGCCGACTCGTCCGAGTTCCTCTACGAGATGTCCCTGGTGACCAAAGAGGGCCGCAAGAGTCTAGCCGAGATCTTCGCCGACATGAGGCGAAAGGTGAGAACGCTGATCGGCAAGCTGGCCGCGCTACTGCGACTCAAGAAGACCATCTTCACGTCGGAGAAGACGCCCACCATGTTCCAGAAGCTCACGGGCTTCAACAACCAGGCCAGCGCGCTGTACTCCGAGAAGCCCCTCAACATGGTCCGGTACGAGAAGTACGTGCAGAGCGACGCGTTCAAGCGAGCCGTGCACGTCGGTCGAGACGCCCAGTTTATGGAAGCCGAGGGCAAGGTGTCGATGAGCCTGAAGAACGACTACCTGACCGACATCAGGTATGCGCTTACGTCAACTTTATAGTGACTAGAAGAAATTTCGACAGTACCGATGCAGTAAAATCTCCTTGATTCCATTTCGAAGGGGATTACGCATTTGTTCGACTTAAGCAGAGTTCGAGATAGCTGGCGGGTACAGTATGAAAGGGCGTCGCGGTATACATCATCCAGGCAGAACCCGGAGAAGCCACCTCTAAACTCGTTGTCATGAACTAGGTGCTATACTAGCCGTTTGTATTAAGTTATTTCGTAGATTAAGTATATTGAGCTTTAACAGCGAGAAGAGCTAATGGATTAATTAGTGATAGGCCAGAACAAGCACCAACATGCTACTTGAAATCAAAACACGTTTACGTAGCAGAGTTAACGCAATCAAAACTAAAGGTAATCAGTGGTCTCCATCTGCTTGCGTTTCTTTCGTCATGACTCCATAAGCATCATTTGCAGCTTGCTTAAGAGCAGCGTCGAATTTTTCATCGGCGGATAAACGCTGCTGTTTTATTGTTTTGCATCTCCGGTGCATTAGGTGTGCTTTGGCTTAGCAACACATCGTGATCATTCTGGGCCGACGTCTTCAAAGAGCGATGAAAATCAAGGGACTAAGATTGGCTGGAATCAATCGCTGTGTTTAGTGACGTGTTTGAATAGTCAGGAGTTTTCCCTCGCAGAGATACACCGGGCTGTCCGGGACCATGTCATCAGTTCATCAGTCAGAACTAAGTGTAAGTTTGAATTAACGATGTGGATTCGACAATTTTTCAATTTCGCTACATATCTACAAATATTGCATGAATCCTCGTTACATTGCTTTTTACGCTTGTCTCAGAAACGTAACGCTCATCTTTTTATTTTAAAAAACTTCTTTTTCTTTTTCCTTCCATTAGCCACGAAATAGAGGACCTGCTCAAATCATGCAAGGTGCTCTTCTACACGGGTCAAATGGACACGCTCTTCCCGTCGCAGAACCTCCAGGAGTACTTCCGGTCCCTAAAGTGGCCCGGCGCCACGGAGTTTCGCAAGGCGGAGCCGCAGCACTGGAAGGCGTATCCCTCCTATCGTTCCGTATCCGGTCTCGTCATCCGAGTGCGAAACATGACCGACGTGGTGCTCTTCCGGGCGGGACACTACACGGCCGTTGACGAACCGGACGCGGCCAACAAGATGATCTTGAACTTCATCGAGGGCGACGCGAACGCATGGGAGACTCCCGATGACGCGAAGACCCACGAAAAACGTGGGTCAACCGAAAGGGGTTAGCCATCTCATGCTACTTCGTGAAGCGTTTATGAGACGTCCACCTCGGTACTTCAAAGGGCCCCCAAACCACACCCTGCTGTTTTTTACGTTTTAATTGAACATTCGACCACTCCCCCGCAGATCACTGGATCGAATATAGGACACGGCTACTGAATTTCAATAAAGGCGAAATGCTAAAGCTTCACGCATTCCGACATTGGTGCGCTTTAAAGAACCCCTGGAGGTCAAAACTCTCAGAGCTTTCCACGGCAGAGGCCTTCATAATCATGTCGTGGTTTTAGGACTTATTACCCCAACTATTATTATTATTATTATTATTATTATTATTATTATTATTATTATTATTATTATTATTATTATTATTATTATTATTATTATTATTATTATTATTATTATTTATAAACACGCGCGTCAAGTTCGGGATGTCATCAGGATTAACAACGTGAAACACGGCAGCGCTACAATCCGCGGGCTCGTCATAAAACCGAAGAAGCAGTCTTGCAGCCGTCTCCGGGCCTTTTGGTATCCCTGGCATGACGTCACTACGTAAATTTAATTCTGTCAACGACAAGTAGAACAAGTTCGTCTGCTCGCCGGTACACGCCCTCGCTGCTCTTCTTCCGCTCACGTCGATAAGGAGCCCTCAGCCATAAAGGAGAAGAGATACGGCAAACGGAGCGTAACGAAGAAAAGAGTGAAACGAGCGAAGGGCGCACTTGGATTATTAAACGCGTATAACTCACCTATTACGGCACCGTTTGAAAAAAAAAAATCTCTTGTCTATGTGGCAGAGGGGCTTGGCCTCTCTGTCCCGGCATGGAAGCAGCCAGCATCAGTCCTGAACTGTTCCTCAGGACCTCAATAAAGTTCTTCCTGCCATACGTGTTCGTTTTGCGGACTCGCGTACAACTGCACCACAACTAAATTTGTGTCTGTAGATGATTTACGGGCCTTCTAACGCAATTCTGCTTATAAGGAACGGTGTAACGCCCTAATATTATCCGGGGTTAAACTTCTCAAAGCACGACGTGCATATGGTAGCCGTCACAGTGGCCGGCTCCGGAAGTTTCGCCCACCTGGAGTTCCTTAACGCCAAGGACATCGCACAGAAAACGGGATTCTGGCATTTTGCCTTCATTGAAATGCGACCGCCACGTCCGGGATCGAACCTGCGACCTTCAGGTGACGTAGCACAATAGAACATACCTTCTGCATGTTTCTTCTTACGGATCACTGCTTGCAATCCAGCGCGTGTTGCATGTTTTTTTGCATTTCCCGGGCATTTGTAATTAGCAAAAAACCACTAATACGTAACAGATATAAAGTTCAAAACTGTCCAATCGAACGTTTGGCAAACCGATCTGCAACTTTCTTATTGAAATTTTTATCTATCTTCGTTTCTTGAAAAGTTAGTCAATTAAATATATCTTAGTAAATAATAATTGAGAACACACAAAGAAATGGTCTGATTAACAATAGTCTGACTACCCCACCGCGATCTCCTACTGGCTAAGGTAATCGGCTGCTGAACCGCAGGTCGCGGGATCGGCTGCATTTCCGATGGAGGCGGAAATGCTGTAAGCGCGTGTGCTCAGATTTGGGTGCACGTTAAAGAACCCCAGGTGTCGAAATTTTTGAAGCCCTTCACTCTCTCATAAGCATATGGTGGTTTTGAGACGTTAAACCCCACATGTCAATCAATCTGACTAACTCCAGGCAACGGTGAGTATCATGCATTTGGTCGCGTCATAATTACGTGTTCCGGCATATTTTTAAACTCCGGCCAAAGTTACGTGGGACACCGTGTATACAAAATACAAAGCGCCAGCACAGCATACTATGCCCCATAGAGTCGGTTCTTATTTTACTTTACGGTTTACACCGTGTATACAAAATACAAAGCACCAGCACCGCATACCATGCCCCATAGAGACGGTTCTTATTTTACTTTTACCGTTCCCTCGCGTTGCACTGATAGCGAACCAAGCATGCGCTCATATCTTCTCGTTAGCGTCTCAAGTGACTGCCAACCACGACAGATTATTTACTGGCTGAAAACTCAAACACGCTCCGCCGCGGTGGTCTAGTGGCTAAAGTACACGGATGCTGACCCGCAGTTCGCTGGATCGTATCCCGGCTGTGGTGGCTGCATTTTCGGTGGAGGCGGAAATGCTATAGGCCCGTATGCTCAGATTCGGGTGCACGTTAAAGAACCCCAGGCGGTAGAAATTCCCGGAGTCATCCACTACGGCGTCTCTCATAATCATATGGTGGTTTCGGGACGTTAAACCCCACATGTCAATCAAAACTCAAACACGTAAGGTACGCACTGAGGCCGAACCACACCGAAAATACTTGCGCATCTCAGTTTTCAAGGGCACGAACTTTTTACGAGAAAACACGACATCCGAGTCTATCCTGTTTCGCTGCAATATTCCTTTAGCGAGCCCAACCGAGGGCCAACAACGGCACCATGTCCAGCTTGCCACGTGCCCACAAATATGACTTCCAGTATTCATAGTGTCATCGCTTAAGACGACACGGAGATGATGATGATAATGATGATGCTGATGGTGATGATGATGATGAGCTCTATATGGCTCGCATCCACTTCAAGGGATTCGCCAAGGAATGAATAATTTTTTTAAAATAAAAGTGACTACATAAGACAAAATTTTTACTTCTTTTTCCTTCTTTTTTTTCTCTCTGCAGTTGATGAGCCAAAGAGACGAATTGGCAGACACGATTAATATACACAACGCCGAAAGTGAAACTGGAAACACTTCGAATAAACCATAAGCAGCATACAAGTATCCTACACCGCTAAGTCTACGAAAATATTTTCTATTCTCTTTTACTCTGATATAAAATCAAGCCCATAAACGAAATGAACCTCGCATTTTTCGCACAGACGACGACCTTTTCCTGCGACACGCTGAATGATTTATCAACTGCGCAGTTCCAAAAGGGGACCCTAGAAACCATAGCCATATCGTGGAGACGGGCCCCCTACGCCGTTGAGAATAGGCGTGCAAACTACACAGTGGTTCCTCGGAAGCTTATATGGGGCGCTGTAAATGCGATAAGGCAGAATCTAAGCCTCCTGTTTGGGATACGTGATAAAGGCCTTCTCTCTGAAGCTGTTTAAAAGCCGAGTAAATCGAGTTTACCGCTTTCACTCACCTATAAGCACAAAGTATTTTCTCAAAGTGTCTAATAACAATTGTATGCGAGACTTAAAGAGACTCTAAAGAGCTAAATGCTTGTTCACGTATTAGTAAACTATAACTTTACAATTCTGAAAGCGCCTTTATAGCAAGGAGTTCTGACTGCTTCACGTTACAAGAGGCCACAAGAAGCTTTCGCGACAGGTTTGACGATATATGCTGTGCTATATGGCACACGTCCTGCAAGACATTGAATTTTGTTTGTAACTGTTTGCAAAAAAGAAACGAGCATTCTCTTCGCCATCAACCCAGGTTTTTCTTTTTTTTTAATTTTGCAAATTCGCTTTGCGGCAATGCACATGTTCTGGTAAAGCTTCTTGTCTTCCACTGTAAATAAAGATTTACACGAACGAGAAATGTGCAGCTATGCGAAACTGATACCCAATAGCCCTCCACGCCAGCCTCTATTAATAACCGTCTAATATTAATCGTTCCACAATTAAAGTTGTGTCTTACCAACCAGCTGACGAGCTTCCTTCTGTATGGACGTATGACATCCTGGTCAAAACCAGCTGCCAGACATCCGCAGCAATCCGCAATCACAGCAGCGCGAGACAATAATTGTACACGCACAGCCACAGCAGGATATCAGTGCTAAAAATTAATTAACTCTGGTTCACAGGGCGATTGAAAAATAATGTACAGCAGGCTAACGGAAGCACAGGCGAAAGCGTATGTTCTCGCGAAGCTTTCATTGGACAGTTTCAGAACAGGGTTCTTATCGTTAGAGTTCATTTGGCACAATTTTCTGCTTTCATAACTTAACGTGGACACCTAAGATGATAGTGCACGACGATTGCGCAGTGGCCACAAAGCTTTGCTCGTATACCCTGTCTAGGACTGCTGATTAGGTTCCTTTTACATTCTAAGCCGGCTGCGCTGCCCCCAAACTCCAGAAATTTCCGTACTTCCCTCGATTTCACAAGTTGTCTCAGGAATCTTCCCATGCACCCTTCACCAAGCCTCACGTGAATTCATCATCGGATGACGTCACAAGACATTTCTTTGTCACGTGATATTTTGGTATCGTTCGTGTGCACGCCGACGCCAGTCATATGATTTTTTTACTCATAGAAAATATAAGACTCTTTGCTTAATAAACTACCTCGCAGCGGTAACTACTAAGTCGCAGCAAGTATACACTCGGACGGTACTTGAGAACGTATAAACGTGTGGCAGTAACAACATAAAGGCAACCTTTAACTGCTTCGATCTTGAGTGCAAGAAAATGAAATCAGGGAGGCTCGGTTTCACGTCAAGTGGCAAACGTCTGTTTTCCCCCGAGCCTGCTCTCATCTTTCAGGTGAAATAAACTTTCGAAAATAAATTGAAGTATTACCGCAATTTTAAACTCCTAACAAGTTCAGGCAACTTTTTTGACCGCAGCACGTTATTTTATGAAGCAAAAGCTGTTTCCCCATGTGTGAGTCTGTAATGGAGGTCGGTCTGGTTTCGAGTAAGTGCGGTAGTTGTCACTACGAACGGATGGTGCATGCGCTGCCGCAAGCCGGCCGAAAGCTCCGTCGATCCGCAAGAAAAACACCGGCCCTTCCGTCAGCCATCCTTTATCCCTCACACTATACCTCATCTCGTCCATGTTTCTCTCTGTGATAGCGCAGCATGTCGCGCCACGTGTATATCTGGATGACAATCAGTATGCAATTTATGTGACGTCACATGTCTGTATATATATATGAACATCAGCGCAGAATAAAAAGGCATTTTATTCCTGCCGAGCTGACTGATAACATTATTACACTCTCCACGGGTGGCCGTCATCCCGATATCACGACGTTACTACCGTTATTTGCCTCTAGGGTTTGCAACATCTCTAAGGCCACTAAGTGGAGATAACATTATTTGCCCAACGTTTATTACTGTACCTAGAGTTATAGGCTGCATAGATCCGCCGTTCATAGCTGTGCTGTTTTGGTCAATATTGAATGTTGTTA